CAACTTAGATCGAGGAATGGAATCAAATGCTGAAAAGTAGTCCAGAAAATCACCGAACAGATTTAACAGGGCTGTTCAAAAACTCGGTGATAAAATGAATGAGGGTGGAGACTGCGTCTAAGTGGATCTATTAGGCGTGTAAGCAAACTGTAACGGAATATTGGAAAGGTTGATATACTGTTGAAGGCGTTTGAAGATGGTCTGTTCAGTCAGTTTAATAGCTGGGGATGTTAAAGCTATGGGACAAAAACGTTTGGAAAGGATAGAAGTGTTGAATTCTTTGGGGGGTGGTGGTATGATTATGACCGGCCTCCGACTGTGTGGGATAGTAGAAGTTTACAGTGATTCGTTTACAATGTAAATGATTATCCCAGCTAGGGAAGCAGAACTGTCATGTTTGAACAAGTTCATTCCCAAGAATTGGATAGAACAAATAAGTGAATTGTGCCCCTCTCAGGCAATACAACACTGTAAATTAATAGAACTGTTCTTTCAATGCTTCCATCGTAAATATTGCAAGGTAGGACTAAAAGATTCTATTCCCAACAGTATACGAAAGAGAAAAAGGAAAGGGACGTTAAAAGAACAAACCGTTGATGAGCTTCAACAAAGACGAGACAAATACCTACTAGCATGTGTTGGTTATCACATAACGTGTTTTCACAGCATTCAAACGAACACAAACAAACAAACAAACAAACAACAACAACACACAGTTGGAGTTGTGTGTGGTACAATGCTGAAGATTTAAACAAACCTTTGGATAAACTTCTTTGTGGTGAGATTCAAGCAATGACAACTTCCTCCACCCGCAGTGCCAAACCAGGCCAGATTCTCCGGTTGACCGGATTGAGACGAGGAAGGGTCTAGGGCCATGACAACTGGTCCGGTTGCAACACAATCACCGGGGATATTGATCAAATCGTGTGTTATTGTGACTTTCCCGGGTGTACCAGTAGCACTGGCGCTAGCTACGGCATCGAGCGAGTCGGCTAACGGGAACACACTCAATTGACTTGTCCCACTGGGATTGGATAGGCTAAGACACACTACTCCACCAGTCGAACTGTGATGAGAAACAGATAAACGGACGAAACAGTAACGACGAGAACGGATCAATCAATAATGAATACGAATTCTACGAAATACAAAAGCAGCCAATCTGGATAAACGAGGATTACGGGTATTCAGACACATGCCAACTTGTAGCTCTTTCCTTCCATATTACAATAAGATGCATATTAACCTTTATGGCTGTTCACAGTATGATATCAAGGTGATTCAGTCGTTGTCACCAAAGTGCTTTAGATCAAGGTTCGAACCCAACACCATCGAAATTTGATGGAAAACAGCTTTACGGTCGGTGGGTTGGTTCGATATGATGCCTGCGACGATGGTGTCACACCGCAATAAAGTACAGTGGAACTGGTACGAAATTCGGGTAAATGTGGTGTAACTTGTGTCTACAATCATGCGGTGGTAGTGATCGATGTAAATTAGACTGATGATTTTCGGTAAGAACAGAACAGAAAAATAAGCCACGTAGAAAGGGACCCCAGTTATGGGGTGCACGTTTTAGGATGATTGGAGAAATTCTGTCTGGTCCCGGTGGCTAATTTAAGTGTAAATGGATGGCCTTTAAAGATGATTTGTTATAGAGTATGTTGAGAGTCGGATGGGTAAGGAGTTGTGTAACAACTTGAACTTGTACAATCAACAACTGAGTGATTAATTTTTCCAGGTGATCTAACTAGAACCACGTGAATAACAACGATTAAATGATTTTTGAAAATCAATCATCATTAGCCGTTATTGTAATTCACAGGAAAGGGAAACTTTTTAAACGTGAGATACAGTTGATCAGAGGAATTGCAAGGAAGCGGGGGAAGGTTTAAACCTACTTAAAGTACATTAATAATAAACCTCAAAAGTGTTGCACAACTCTCATCAACAGTGACTGGTGACCACCAACATCCATCAGATTAAAACCCGAGAATTACCAATTATCATTTCCGAACACCGTTTTTATGTGAATATCAACAGAGTTTGTCGTTTATCAAAATGACACGATCAAACACAAATCGGTGTCACATAGGGCCATGCTAGGAGACCACCAGGCTCAATCGATGTTTGGGATCAAAAGGATAAAATGAGAATTTTCAAAATTTTGAGATATGCACAATTCCCATTTGTGTCTGCTTTCGAAAACGATCATCTGAGGTTATTGCATCTGAAAATCCCAACGCGACGTCAGTGGTTCAAGTCGGACCGGTTTATGANATACGGACATGGTGAACAGAAGACAAGACAGGCAGTGCAGAGTGAAAATCTCAGTATTGTAGGAAACAGCATTCGATTAACAATAGAAAAATTGTGATATGAGTCAAGTGGAAGTGAAGATAGCTATTACATTCATTGAATGAAGGTGATAGGATTCGAATCTCGGAGCCGAAAATCCACCGACTTTGAATCAATATTATGGAGGTTGTTAGTGTAGTTTGTTCGTTCAACTTTCATTGACACTTTCAACTCCAGAAAGTCTACCACATTCCTCAGTGTGAAGAACGTGATATCAGAAGTGGGGACAACCTTATCGACTCTTATCAATTCCTTCAAATTATACATACCTGGTATGACAGTACTTACCGGTTAACTAACTAAACAAACTACAAACAACGAGACGTACATCATACAATTCGAGACGAGTGAGACGGTTCGAACGTGAAACAGGGCGACCGTCAACAGAGTCAGTGGACGTGTGGAACTGCCTGGAGAGTCTGGCGTTTTGGCGATCAACGACCGAATATCGGAACTGACTTGAAGAACCAGAAATCGGCCATCGTTCGAGGCCAGAATCACATTGCCCACGGCTGTGTCAATTGGGTTCATTGTCACAAGGAAGAATAGAACGAGATGAGCCACGGGAGGACAAATGAAAGAAAATCATTCACGTAGGAAATGTAGAAAAATCGAATGAATAGATGTCATTACTCACAAAATCGTGAAATCAAGAGAATAACACATAACATTAACGTGTATTATACATGTATATCCAAAAGACACGTTTATAGGATATATCTAACTATCTATCTATCTATCTATCTATCTATCTATCTATCTATCTATCTATCT